TTTAAAACGTTCCAAAAACAATAAAAAATATATCATTGTTCACAATTCCGGAAAAAAACAACAATTTAACATAGTCTCGATTATTTATTAATTATTATCTATATTTATATCAGTGAAGTCCACATGGCAAAACTAGCTGTCATGTGGGTCCCAAGGTTTACACTGAATTGGTCTTAATGAAATAAGTCAATAACGACTTCCCTCGATTTTCTCACAAATCTGATTTTGCCCTCTATATACAACCGAAACCCACGTAGATGACCGTTTTAAGCTTCCACAAAACAAATCAAAATCTCCACTTACATATGCAAAAAAAGTACAAGTCTTTGTCACTTTAAATTTCGAATTCAGAAGACAACGTTCCTTAATCTCATCATCATTATCACGTCTTTGGTTTCAAAGAACACAAACCACAGAGAGTTGCTATTTACACTTCAATCGAATCAGTAATTTCGTCTTTCCTTTTACTTTTTTCGTTTGATTTTGTATTGGGGTTTATTGATGTTCAAAAACCCAAAATTTTGGATTTTAGAAGCGATCCGAATGTCGGATTTTGTCAGTTTTGTTTTTGATTGATATGAGTTTAGACGTAATCTTGATTTTAGTAATTGAAGTCGTGTTCTTCATGTTCTTATTGCATTGGATGCACTTGACATTCTAATTTTGACTATTTGATGGTTAAATTAGCTCCAGAAGCAAGAAATTCAGCCTTTTTTTGTAACAAATACATGAAAGGGTGTCTTTCTTTTACACAAAATCCATAAAATTTCATTAATTTATTTTATTCATTTGAGTTTTTTAACACTTGTTATATGATTTTCAGAAGATGTCGAGATATTCGTTTTCCAAAGATGTTCGGGTCCCCATATCCGGAATTCCATATAACTTGAACCGGGTAAGAAATTCCATTTTAGCACCTCACTTTTATTTCTTTCTCTTATAGAATTTACTTTGATGTTTAATCCAATTATAGCAATTTTTTAATTTCAAGATTCTTTTATTACTTTATTTTACCATGAAAAATCTAATCACTTATTTCAATGTGTAATGCTATAATAGGAATAGATGTTATGAAGTTTACTGAATTCACAAATTCTTGAAAAATTATGGGTGAATTGACAAAAATTTCATAGTTTTAAATAATTTGTATTTTGACCATAATAAAGTCAAACTTTACATCTCTTCATGAAAATTGCAGGATCTTCTTGCTGCAAGATCATCAAAACTCTGTAAGCTTTTCAAAGAAAACCCAGATGAAGATCTTTCTCATCTTGTTTGCGATATCCCAACAACCCCTGAAATTTTTGAGCTCATGGCAAGATTCTGCTATGGTTTTGAAGTCAATTTCACACCAGAAAACGTAATTCCGATTTCTTGTTTAGCTTGCTATTTGGGTATGACTGATAATCACAGCCCCAACAATCTTTTGAATCGAGCTCTATCATTCTTCGAACACCAAATCATAACAGGTTGGAACGAATCGATCAGATCCTTGAAAGCCACAGAAAATCAAATCGTACTTCAACAAGCGACAAAACTAGGGTTAATCGATGCTTGCGTTGATTCAATCATCTCGAAAGCGTTAAACAAACCGATTTATCTTGGAGAACCGATCGAACCAATTAAGAATCCAGTTCTTTCTGATGAAGATGAAGATGGATTTAATGGCGATGTGTACAAACCAAATGCAAGGAGACAACTTTTTGTTCTCGATGGCAAACAAGATTTATGCTTGACCACACTTCGTCTTCAATTCTACGAGCCAATAATCCGCGGAATGATTCAATGCAAAATGGGTTCAAATTACATCGCATCAAATCTCTACCAATACGCGAAAAGATGGGTGTTTTTTGACCCGAAAGAATCCGATCAATCATCATCTTCTTCAGAAGGTGTTTCTTCAAATTCAAGACGAGACACAATCGAAACAATCGAAAAGCTTTTCCCTCATGATCGCGGGGTTGTTCCATGTGAATTACTATCCGAATTGCTTCAATACGCGATCATTTTAGAAGCTAATAGCGATTGTCGAGATGGATTTGAGTTACGAATTGGGAAACAATTAGATTTAGCAACAGTTCATGATCTGCTAATTCCATCTCAAGGGTATTCGAAAGAAGAGAAATACGACACCGAATGCGTTCGAAGAATCATGAAACATTTTTATAATAACTTCACCGGGGAAGATAATCGGGCCGGGCTTGAAATTGTGGCGGATCTTGTTGAGGATTTTCTCGGGGAGGTGGCGAATGATGTCGATTTGAAAAAGGATTCGTTTATTTCACTAGCGGAATTGTCGATTGCTGCATCTGAAGGAACACAGAGAAATTCAGATGGGATTTATCGTGCGATTGATATTTACTTAAATCAACATCGGTATTTGATAGAATCGGAAAGAGAAGAGATTTGTTCGATTTTGGATTGTAATAAGATGTCGCCGGAGGCGTGTGAGCATGCCGCCCAGAACGAGCGGCTTCCGGTGAGGGTGGCGGTGCAGGTTTTGTTTGTGGGGCAGTTGCAGCTGCGGGAGACGATAACGAAGGAGGTGGCAGTGGCGGAGGAAGGCGGAACCACGGGAAAAAGGTCGCCGGAGAATGGGGCGGCGGTGGTGGAATTGGAGAAGATGGGTTTTAAGGTGATGGAGTTGGAGAAGGAATGTGGGGCGATGAGGAAGGAGATTGAGAGAGGGTATTTTGGGAAGATGAAAATGAAAAAGGGTAAGGTGAATGTGTGGAGGGTGATGAAGAGGAAGCTTGGGTGTATATCGAGTTTGAATAATTGTAATTGTCATGTGAAGAAGAAGAAGATTCATCCAAGGTAGAAGAAGAAGATATTGAGTTCGTTTTTATTAGTTTTGTAGTTGGTAGTTACATCAATCTTTGATGTTTGAGCAATAAGTGTTTTTGACATTTTATGTTTTTGACATTCTTTGTTTTATACAAGGAATCAACTTATTTGAGGTGAAAGTTACATTTTCACCCTTCCGTTTAAAGAAATTTTAAATGTAGGGCAAATTTCATAAAAACTCATGTAGTTGGTCACTTTTTTGGTTTGGTCACCTAAAAGTTCCTAGAGAATTGTTCTACTATTGAACCACAAAAAAACTTTGCAAAAAATTGTGAAAAAAAAATACGCCATGACATGGTATTGTTGCTATTTTGTCATATTGTTGATGTAGTATATTAATATTGAAAATTTTATAAAACCATTGTAGATGATTGTTTATTTTCGATTTAACCATTCAAATGGAAGTAAATGTCAATTTTATTTGCAAGTGAAATGTTGATCTTCGTGGAGAATTTGGAACCAACGAATACGTTTTTAGGTTTCTGTAAGTCACTATAAGATATGTTATTTCTTGATACCGTACAAATTATTGTTGTTTCTTGATTGTGTGTAATATATACTTTTGTTTATGAGAATGCAACTCAAGCTTGCTATTAGGTTCAAATTTATCGATCCTCAACTACCCAATTATTTGTAACATAATGATTGGTACTCGACATTCGTTTATGAACAACATTTGAAGTTAATGAACAATGTCCCTATTGCGGAACATGGAAAAGGTGTTCGATGCAAATAAGGTAAGGGTGTTGAGGCTAGTTGTTTTAATTTTGGTTATTGTTGAGTTTGTGATGGTTTAGGATAGAATGGACGAATGTAATTGCACTATTAGGGTTGAGTAGTAAAAGTGAGCACCCGTCTTCATATCTATAAATGTCTTGGAACTTGTCAATCCTTGAACTGCGACTGTTGTGAGTTGTTTTGATTTTGGCTCTTAAATATTGGGATCAATTGAAAGTGGTTCCAGTTTCGGTTCTCAATTTTTGAAAATGCTACCATTGGGTATGTTGGAACATGTTCTAAACAATTAATCTAAGATGGAATGTTAAAATAACCATTACGAACTATGTTGTTAACAAATATGACCAAGTTTATTGTATTATGGAAAATGATCATTTTGTCTGGAATGGGTCATTTTGGACCAATAAAAAACTACACTCCGGATCATTCTAGATTTCGTACATGAAAAAAACTATTTTACAATATGAATCAAAACTATAAAATCCGATGAACAATTCCGGAATTTTGAGAAATGAATCGTTTTTTACTCAAATATGCCAAAATTTTAAAGAAACCTAGCTAATGATAAAAATATTTAAAATATGATATCTTAATGAAAAATAGTAATACCAAACCTTTGAAATAGCCATTTCATACATGAATACAAATAATCTAAAAGTTTTTATAGTGAGAATGAAAAAAAATGCACATTATATACTTTTTATTGGTCCAGAATGACATATCTAGTTTGGAATAACTCATTTAGGACAAATTATTAATTTCTCAATACACAAAATTTGGTCATTTTGGTTGACAAACCTTGTTCATAATGGTTAGTTTAGTTAATATCTCTTGAGTGTTTGTATCATATCATGTTATTTGTAAAACTAACTTGCTAGTAAATATCCTTGAACTTTTTATTGTAAATATACAAGGCAATGTTATTTAGGGAGGCGTTCAAATAAAAAGGTTAGGAACCCTTAAGTTGAAAAAATTCTAGTTATATTAAATAAAAAAAATGACAATCTATAATCAAAATTCACTATACTCGGTTGCAATTCATTTTGAAAAAATAGAAAGTTTTTGTGGTTAAATCAAAACAAGTTTTTCTTAGGTGATTAAATTGTAAAAATGACATTATTGTGCATTTTAGTTGTTAAATGAGTTTTAGACGTAATTTCATTTTATTTTATAGCTTGAAGTAAAGAAATGAAATCGCCTTACATGGTTTGGAGTAATTGTAATTGTAGCATTGTTTATTAGGTTAACAGTAAATTCTGGTTAGATTAAATCCAAAAAATGACAATCTATAATCAAAACTAACTATACTCGGTTGCAATGAATTTTGAAAAAATGGAAAGTTTGTGGTTAAAAAAAAAAAAAAAAAAAAAAAAAAAAAAAAAAAAAAAATTCTCTAGGTGGTTAAACTGAAAAGATGACAAATTATGGTGGCTTTTAGTTGTTAAATGAGTTTTACACGTAATTCCATTTTTAAGGCATAGGCATCAAGTCTGAACAAAGGCCACGATAAATAAAACAAGATGACAACTAACATTTTCATCTACAAGAAAAAGCCAACAACTGACATTTACTCCTTGAGCAAAAGAAGAAACAGCCTTTGATCCACCTTAAATTTACCCATCTTCACAGGGGCCCCCTTCATCATCAGTTGAAGCCCTCCAAATGATATGTACACAGCCCTGTATCCGTATACACATCACCAAGATGATCAGACATAAAACTTTAAAAATAGGACAGAAGTTGTACTGGGTTTGACATGCATTGGACTGCGACTAGAACTAATGTCAATGGGACAAAAATTGCATATTTTTTGTCCCACCCAAAAAAGTCGAACAAGGTGGGACATGGACTCGCACTCGATCTCATGTCAGTGAAAAAGACGTAAATGCCCTTCTCATCCTCACCATCGAAGATAACCCTAGAAAGCTTGACCAGTCCAGTCCCATCCAATGTAACAAACGTAGCCGAAGGCTACGTTTCTTACACTGACATGACTAGACAAACTTTCTAGGGTCATCTTCAATGACGAGGATGAGAAGGGTATTTACGTCTTTTTCACATACATGAGATCGAGAGAGAGTCTATGTCCCACTTTGTTCGACCTTTTCGGGTGGAACCAAAAAAAATGTAATTTTTGTCCCATTGACTTTGGTTCCGGTCCAGTCCAATGCATGTCAAACACAGTACAACTTGTTCTGTTCCATCATGTCAAAGAAACATAGGTAATGAGATACGTACACTTCAGCATCACCATTTTGGTTCTTATCATCTGAGATCTTGTATAACAACCCATGCATCACATACTCAAATCTGTCAGCAAGTGATTTCTTGCTTCCCTGTCATTAAATTATAATACATCGACTTCGTTATTAAGACTGTATTTGTTACACTAAACAGGAGTAGAAAAACGTCATTGGCTATTTTTAGCAACGAGGATGAGAAGGGCATTTATGTAATTATGTCTTTTTCAAACAATATATCACGAGGATGAAAATTGCAATTTTCATCCCATTGACATCATTCTCATTCCCTGTCCCAAGTGTTCACCTTTGGGTGAAGTAAAAGCTACAAATTTTGTCCATTGACATCAGTCCCAATCCCAGTCCCACCTGGTCCGAGTCAATCTCAGACATTGACTCATTGACTCAAACCGACTGGACTGATGTCAATACCAAAAAGGTGGGACAGGGATTGTGACTTATGTCAATTGAATCCGTCCCATCTTTTTGGTATTGACATCAGTCTGAGTCCGAATTTCCAATGAAGGACGGTACAAATAACATTATATAATAGCTTACTTGAGTATGAGTGGTAACAGCTGAGCCATCTTCATTTAAAGTTTGTGACAAAACCATCCGATATTTCTCTCCGGCATGCATAGGGTACAATTGTGAATTCACATCCAACACAATGTGCATGTCAGTTTCCTCCCCTCGTGCTTCAATACGTGAAACTGAAGGTAAAAGTTTTAATTATTTGATAAGTATTATTACATGAAATAGCAACGTACTTTCATTTATTTATGTATTATAGAACTCTACTTCTTTGAAATGCTACCACGATTACAACATTATACTTTCAATGTTTAAAAAATTCTACTTGCTTTGTATTTGGATCACATTGCTTATATTGGTAGAATTCTTAAAGTACAATGTTATATAATAGAAAGAAATGAAAATAGAATCATATGATAAACAAATCAATAAAAGGAAATTGCCAATTCTTGCATTTAACTCTAAAAACAATATGTTTCTTTGAAATATGAATAGAAAATCTTGTAATGATTTTGGAATATTGGTTTAAGGACTAGTTTCATTGGCTGGATAGATACCTTTGTCATACTTTTTACCATCTGCATCCACTCCAATCACCTTAATTGTATCATCAAAGTGAGGGTTAACCATCTTTGTTGCACCTTGCTTTATAAGAAATACAAATAACATAAAAATTAAATTATATATATACTTATCATGAACAAAGAATGTTAAAACAGATAAACTTTTAAAAACATGTTAATACAAATAAGATTTTAAAAAATAATTTAACTTTTATATGGTAGCTTTCTTAGTCCAGTTCCTCCTATAAATTCCTCTGTAACATGGACCAATTTAACTGGAAATTTACCCCCAAGATGTTCATATGTATAATATATCTACAAGATGTTCATGTATTGACGCTTACAAGCTACAATAATCCACACTAACCATTTTGTTGTGTTATTCCGATCGTTTACATCTAAGAACTCGATCAAATATGTGAGAAAGCTGATTAAAGATTGTTTGGATGAATTGCTTGATTTCAGTTCAATTAATATCATAGAAAGCTAAAATAGCTAAGGAATACGACTAAAACCCTAAATCATTGAATGAGAATAAACCAAGTTTTTATCGAATATTAGGGTTGTTAAGAAAAGCACGAACGAAGAGAATTTACATATGGAGAATGATAATGAGGTAATAGAAATCGAGAATTGTTGAGGAAAATTGAAGACACGTACCTGATGATGTCTCGTATTTGGTTGTCACTGCCAAAAACCCTAGACGAGGGTTTTGTTTAAGAGAGCATATAAGAAGCAGCAGTGTCGTAGCGTAGTTAACGAATATTAGTTTTTTAATTTTTATTTTTCTTTTATGACAAATAAATATCAAAATAAGGCTAAAAAGAGTTAACCAATATTAGTTTTTTATTTTTTATTTTTCTTTTTAAGGCTAAAAGGAGGTGTAATACGGGTTTTGGAGTTCTATATTAATTTTTTTTATCATTTAACATAATCTTAGCATTTGGTAGAGAGCCGTAACATTTCTAATTTAATTAAATTATTTTATTTAATACATAAACATTTTTTGTGTAAAAATATTAAACAAATTTTATTTTTTAAACCACAAAAAATTAATATAATATCAATTATATTTTTTAAAACACAAAATTTTCATATTAAATTAAAAAAGTTACAATAAGTTAAAACTTAAAATACCTAAAAACACAATTTAATAACTCAAACCACGGCAACATGACTTACCACTGACAGACACGAACCCAGAAACTCGACTTACTACATAAAAAACACATTTCATAACTAAAACACACTTCATAACTAAAACACGTTTCATAAAAAAACACACTAAAGCAAGAGGTCTTCCTCCGAATATTAGCCTTCCAATTCGTCTTCCGGTAGTATATTTAGATCAAGATTGTCCATCGTCCAAAGATGATCGGTCAAATGGTGGTGAAGATCGGTATGGATTATTGCACTGTGAATTATCCTCATTCTTTGTATCCATTCTTGACCATCATATTCTAGTGGTTGTGTCTCTGGGATGACTTCATTCTCGTCGTATACACATATCGTGTTTCCTTCATGTTCTATTATCATATTATGCAATATGATACATGTATACATCACCTCTGTCATAATAGAAATATCACGAAACATGGATGCTTGCAACTATCTGCCAACGCTTTTTAAGTGCTCAAAATGCTCGTTCGATATCTTTTCTTGCTTTTTTCTTGAACTTTCATAAATCTGGACCTCTGACATCCAGACATGACAGACTTTTAACAAAAACAGAAAACTCATGATAGATCCCATCCACAAGATAGTACCCAAATTTGTATTTCGTTCCTCGGAGTACAAATGGAGAATCTGGGGCAGTATCGTTATACACCTTGTTGAATATTGGTGAGTTATTGAGAATATTAATATCATTAAGCGAACCGGCACTACCAAAAAAGTCATGCCAGATCTATAAATCCTGTGAGGCTACAACTTCAAGTACGACCGTGGGATAATGATAATTGCCCTTTGTGTATTGTCCATGATATGCAAGGACACATACTCCATTTCCAATGCATGCAATCTAAACTTCCTAACATCCCAGGCAAACTATGCACATTTCCATGATGAGCATACAGCTTTTGTATGTCACTAGCAGTAGGACGACGCAAATATCGTGGACCATACAAAGACATAACAGCTATGAAAAATTCATGAAAACATTCTCGGGCGATACGTGCGGACATCCTAAAACTCTCGTCTAGTGCATCAGGGGGTGGCATATGCTAACATACGCAATACATCAATACATTTTTGAATTGGATCGAAGCCTAACGTACCTCTTGCATCCGGGGGTTGCCTCATATACTCTGACATTGAAGTCACACCTTCTACAATACGCATAAACAAATCTTTGTGCATCCGGAACCGTCGACGGAAATAATGTCCTTCAAAGATAGCATTCTCGTAAAAATAATGGCGTTAGTGGGCCGCTTCACACTATCTTTGGATATATATCTTCTTTGTTTACGTTGCGCATTGCTTGATTCAATGTTGTTAACATATTGTTATACCCGATTAGGTATGGAGAAGACCGACTATACTATGTTATCTAAAACATCGTTAGATGAAGACACTACTAGAAAACAGGCCTTTAATGACACACAATTTATGATATGCACGGATTTACGATACGCAAAAGTGTGTGACGTAAAATTAATGTCATCTCTCCTAAAATTTAAAGGATTTAAGACACGCATTTTTGTGTGCCCTCAAATTAGTGTCTAATAAAAATAAACACGGAGGGCACCTTAAATAAAATGGGTGTCGTGTAGATCGATGTCGCTTTATAATTTTTTCACAAATGGGCGTCGACCATATACTATATTCCACAAAATCGCAGGACATTAATTGGGGCTTTTTTCTTTTCGATCATCCTGCAACCCTAGCTAGCTTAATTTCTCTCCATTTCTCTCTCACGATCGAAGGACAAAACAAGACACAATTTTCACTTGCAGAAGAGTTGGTGATTTCTCTCCATTTCTTTTCGAGTTAGGAACAAAGACACATAGAACGTAAAAGAGGAGGAAAAAGACACGCACACATTGTGTGTGAGGTGCGGCTGCCATAGCTTTCACTTCCAGAAGAGTTGCTAAGAGTCGGTGATTCCTTCTAGGGTTCGACAAGCTTAATCCATATCTCGACATCTTAACTCCTACATCGTATTTCTTCAACCATTCGTAACCATTCTAGCGTTTAACATGTTCTTCACCATTCTAGGGTTCGACATCTTACCTCCTAGGAACATGTTGGTTCTTATATGTTGAGATTCTTTAACATTGTTCACTAGCCTTCCAACCTTTCTCTGTATAGGCATCGACCAAGGTAAGAACATATATATTACATGCTTTATACAATTATATTGTCGATTTTATTTAATTTCGTTTTCCATGTTCTGATTTCCATCTATTCATAAAGAAAATTTATGCATTCTAGCCATTCGATGAAATGCCTCACTTAAATTAAACACTTCTAGAATCAGAAGAAGAAGATGTAATCATTGACCCACCAAGACCACCTCCAATAATCTACGATGAATTTATATTGTGATAGATGATTTTGTTTTCTATGATGTATAGACCATTTGCTTGCATATCTAATAATCTTAATTCGTTATTATAGTATTATAATGGTTATCTGGTACTGAATCATTGTTAATGTCTTTTAGCATTCTTTTCACCTGAATCAAGAGTTCTAGGTGCTCCATAATTGGTTGACCATCCTAGAAAAACTGTGTTACATTATCTTTCTGGGTATTTTTACCTTGACATATTTATTGTACAACCAATTCCTCAGGTAAGATTTTCTTTCTTTAATTATGTCTAAAAAAATTATTTATATTATATGTTAAAGTTTGAAATAAAAACAGGTTGACATAGGTCCAATCCATTATGTGTATAGCTGATTAAGATCATCAAACAAGCCTTTATGAACTTAGTCAAGAGCATCTGTAACGTCCCAAAATGCAAGACCAAAAATTTCGATTTGTGTTAAGTTATTACATAAAACCATCAGTATAAAAACGTTCATATTAATATCTCATGTCAAAACCAAAGTGTCAATAATCAAAACATATTATCATAAAACCATATCAAAGTGTAATCCCAACGATCTCACGTGCGGAAAACATAGTGTGATGCGTTGCGATCAAGTCGGCTCCTTTCCTTTGAAAACGAGTACCTGAAACCAAAATTGTAAACCATAAGCACGAAGCTTAGTGAGTTCCCCAGAGCATACCCCACACACAATCTACATAACACATATCATATTAGCTATAAAAGCTATCTCTACCACATAACACATATCACTTTAGCTGTACAAGCNCATGGGCTGCCCCACATGGTCTTACATCCAATGCCATGGGCTACCCCACATGGTATTTACCTAGGACTGCCATGGGCTACCCACATGGTCTTACATCCA